TCCATCTGCCAGTCTGTGTGTCTGTCCACATCCATCCATCTGTCCATCCACCCACCACTCTTTCCATACAACTGTCCATCCGTCTGTCCAGTCAGACATTGATCCATCTGCCAGTCAGTCTGTCCATCCATCCACATCCATCCATCCTCACATCCATCCATCCATCATCCATCCATCCATCTATCCATCTGTCCATCTGTCCATCCAACCAGACAGTGATCCATCCACCAGTCCATCCATCCATCCATCTGTCCATCCATCCATCCATCCATCATCCATCCATCCATCCACATCCATCCATCCATCCATCCATCCATCCACATCCATCCATCCATCCATCCATCCTCACATCCATCCATCCATCCATCCATCCCCCCACCCATCCCTTGCCCCCTCTCCCAGTCCGTCCACCCCTCCCTCCCTGCCCCCAGTTCTGGGATTACTCCATGGGGTCCCTGCTGTGGGGGGAGCAGGGGCGGAGCCTCCTCCCCAAGCCCCACCCCAAACAGGCCACACCCACACCCCATCCCCTCCCAAAAGTCTCCACCCCCCCCATCCACCCAAAAGTGGAGCCGGTGCCCACCAGGACCAACATTCCCAATATTCCTGCTGGGAACCCCCCCGAGCTCCCCCCCCATCCTGCCCTTTCCCAGCAGCCTGGCTCATCCACCTGCATTTTTGGGCTCAAACCCTGCAGTTTTTGGACTCAAACCCTGCCATTTTTGGGGCTCAAACCGTTCAGTTTTTGGACTCATACCCTGCAGTTTTGGGGCTCAAACCCTTCAGTTTTTGGACTCAAACCCTGCCATTTTGAGGCTCAAACCCTGCAGTTTTTGGGACTCAAACCCTGCAGTTTTGGGGCTCAGACCCTGCAGTTTTGGGGCTCAAACCCTGCAGTTTTGGGGCTCAGACCCTGCAGTTTTTGGACTCAAACCCTGCCATTTTGGAGCTAAAACCCTGCCATTTTTGGGGCTCAAACCCTGCAGTTTTGGGGCTCAGACCCTGCAGTTTTGGGGCTCAAACCCTGCCATTTTAGGGCTCAAACCCTGCAGTTTTTGGGGCTCAAACCCTGCAGTTTTTGGGGCTCAGACCCTGCAGTTTTGGGGCTCAAGCCCTGCAGTTTTTGGGGCTCAGACCCTGCAGTTTTTTGACTCAAATCCTGCAGTTTTTGGGCTCAAACCCTGCCAGTTTTGGGCTCAAACCCTGCCATTTTTGGGCTCAAACCCTGCAGTTTTGGGGCTCAGACCCCACAATTTGTGTCCCCATCGTGCAGTTCAGGGCAGAGCAGCGCCGGGATTTGGAGGGGGGTGTGTGAGAGGAACAAACCCACCCGGGGACCCCAAAAAACCGCCCCGCAGTGCCCAGGCCGGGCGGGGGGAGCAGGTCCCGGCCCCTCCGGTCCATCCCGGTGGGAAACGGAGGTCGTGGAGCTCCAGGAGCCGTCCCAGCGGGAGGCCCCGACCTGCTTATTAAGGCCGATTAAGGGAGATTAAACTGCCCGCAGCGTCTGCCGGGGCTGAGCCGCCTCCCCCGGCCCTGCTGCCGCAGCCAGAGCCCCTCGGGGGGGGTGCCCGGGGGTGCCCGGGGGTCCCGGACCCCAAATCACCTCCCCGCTGATGCAGGATCTTGGATATCCAGGTTTGGAGCTTGGATCTGCTCCCAGGGAGCGTCCACGTCCCCCCTGTCCTCCCTGCCCTCCCTCTGCCCGTCCTTCCAGCCGTCCCTGCTCGCTCTTCTCACCCCCCCCAGGCCGCCAGAAGCTTCCACGGGATTCATTTCACACACACACCCCGTGGAGCCAGGGATCGGCCATCCTGACATTCCAATAAAGCTGCTGAAATCCATCCCGGCGCTTCCCGGCTCCTCCTTGGGTTCGCACCTCTCGAAAAACACACCCCGGGGGGGGGGGAGAAGTGGTGAAAATGAGGGAATTCCACCCCAAAATCCAGCTCAGCCCCTGGGTGGGACCACAGGGTGGTGGTGCAGGGATGCTCCAGCATTCCCAAGGTTTCCATCCGGCCCGGGGGGACGCGGGAAGAGGGAAAAGGAAGGAGAGAACCTGCACAAAGGAAGGATTAAACCCCAAAGTCATCCTCGGGGGTGGCTCAGCTCCTCCAGCCCCGAGGTGGGAGGGGATCGGGAATCAAACCCCAAAACACCCCCCCTGGACAGGGAGGGCGGGCTCGACATCCCCAAATTCCTCCCGAAACAGGAGAACTGGACACCCAAATAGACACATTTGTAACAATTTATTGAATGAGGCAATAATGACACCGGGAAAACAAGGAGGAGGGGGGGGGGGGGGCCATCCCCTGTCGTTTTTGGCTGTTTTGTGTTTTTGTGTTTTTTTTTTGGGGGGGGGGGGGGGGGTAACCTGTGGGACTAAAAGAACCTCATTCCATCGCCAAAGAAAAAAAAAAACCACGGACTTGGAAAAGCCACCGACAGATCTTCACCACGAACCATAGAAAAATAATCATATTAAAAACCAAAATTGGCCAGAAAAAGTTGGAGAACCAGGACTTTTTGTTTTCTGTGGAAAGATCTCCCTCCCCTGGAAAAGGACCCGAGAACTGCGTACAAAGAACGTTGGGAAGGGGAGGGTGGGAGAGAAAGGGGGGGGTTTGAGTTGGTTTGGTTTTTTTTTTCCATATAAAACAAGTAAATACAAGAATCTTGAAAACTCCCTCGGAGCGAGACGGGGGGGAAACTGGAACGGCCTCTTGGGAATGGGAATAAAAAACGCCCCGAAAAAAACCCCAACCCCCAAATGAAATCCCGTGGGAACTGCTGGGGGTGGGGGTGGGATGGTGAGTAAAATTCCACACCCCTTCTCCAAAAAGAAATCCCCCCTCGAGGCTTTTTTTGAACCCTCCTGGGAAGGATTTTGGGGTTAAAAACCGTGCTGGGGGATGCACGGGGAAGGATTGGGGGGTGTGGGTGCATTTGGGGTGCAGAGGGTCCCACAAACGAGGGGTTCCCAAAGGGAGGGTTCTCCAAAGAGGGTGTCCCCAAAAAAGGATGTTCCCCTAAATGGAGGGTTCCCCAAAAAGGGGGTTCCCAAAAGGAAGGGTCCCTAAAAGGGGAGTTGCCCAAAGGGAAGGGTCTCCAAACCTCAAAAGGGGGGGTCCCAAAGGGAGGGACCCTAAAAGGGGAGTTCCCCAAAGGGAAGGGTCTCCAAACCCCAAAAAGGGAGGGGTTCCCAAAGGGGGGGGGGTGTCCCCAAAACCCAAAGGGAAGGGTCTCCAAACCCCAAAAAGGGGGTTCCCAAAGGGGGGGTTCCCCAAAACCCAAAGGGAAGGGTCTCCAAACCCCAAAAAGGGAGGTATTCCCAAAGGGGAGGGGGTGTCTCCAAAACCCAAAGGGAAGAGTCTCCAAACCCCAAAAAGGGAGGGGTTCCCAGATGGGGGGTTCCCCAAAACCCAAAGGGAAGAGTCTCCAAACCCCAAAAAGGGAGGTATTCCCAAAGGGGAGGGGGTGTCTCCAAAACCCAAAGGGAAGGGTCTCCAAACCCCAAAAAGGGAGGGGTTCCCAAAGGGGGGGTTCCCCAAACCCCAAAGGGAAGGGTCTCCAAACCCCAAAAAGGGAGGGTTTCCCAAAGGGGAGGGGGTGTCTCCAAAACCCAAAGGGAAGGGTCTCCAAACCCCAAAAAGGGAGGGGTTCCCCAAACCCCAAAGGGAAGGGTCTCCAAACCCCAAAAAGGGGGTTCCCAAAGGGGGGGTTCCCCAAACCCCAGAGGGGTCTCCAAACCCCAAAAGGGGATTCCCCAAACCCCAAAGGGAAGGGTCTGCACTCACATCCCCCCACTGCCCTCCAGCAAAGCTTTTCCCATGGGAATCACATCTCCAGGGCCGGGAAGGGGAGGCTGAGGGTCCTGGGAAGGGGGAAAGGAGGGAAGTGGGGAGGGAGGGGCTGAGCCCGAGGCGGCTCTTTGGCGAGGAAAATCCTGGGGAACGTGGTGGGGCCGCAGCCGGAGCCCCTTCGGGAAAAACCGGGAAAATAATAATAATAACAACGACAACGAGAACAACAATAATAATAATAATAATAAAGGAAAACCCAAAGGGGGCAGAACGGCAGGTGCTGTCAGAGCAGAGAAGAGGGGACAGGTCTCCAGTGTGCACCAAGGGGAGCCGGGCGGGACTCCGGACCCTCCTGGAAGAGCATCATCCCTTCGGGAGGTGCCACCCCCCTGCAGTCACACATGCATTTTGGTTTGGTTTTGGGGTTTTTTTGTTTTTTTTTTTTTTTTTTCCCCCCAGGAGAGGAGTCTTTTCCGAACTTTCTTTCTTCTTTTTTTTTTTGTTTTTCTTTTCCGAGTGGAGTTTTTTTGTTTGTTTTTTTTTTTGTCCTACAAAAGTCCCACGTTTAAAATCTTTCCCCGTCCCCTAATTTTGCCCGAGGGTTGTCCCGGTGCTCTCCCCGCCCCCGGCCTCATCCCTGCTCCATCGGGGTGGGTGGTGGGGGAAGGGAAAAAAAACCCGGGGCTAAAGGTTTTTCGCTTCGCTTTCGTTTTTCTTTCGAACCTCCTCGGAATCCCACGAAAGAAGAAGTCACAATTTTGGCTTCTCGCTCCTCCGAGAGAGAGAGAGAGCTCGAGTTCGAGCAGGCGCTAGAAAAAAAATGCACTTTTTTTTTTTTCCACCGAAGTCCCCTGGGAGGGAATGAGGATTCAGTCGTTTTTCTCTTTTTTTTTTCAGTGTTTTTTTTCCTTTAAAAAAAAAAAAACCAAAACGAACGAAGGAAAAAAAAAAGACCGAAAAAAATAAAAGACCCCAAAAAAAAAATAAAAGGTCGACGAAACCTTTTTTTTTTTT